TCTGGGGACGACAAGGAGGAGGACAGTGTCAGCGCCACATGCCCCTGGGGAGCCCTGTTCACCCTCACCCAGCACAGCCCCGCCACGTTTCGGTGGGCCACCTGGCTGGTGACACCAGGCCGCTGATAAGGCCACCTACGCTCTCCTGCAGAAATGGGCTGCCTTGGATGCAGGAGGATCTGGGGGGTTGCTTGCAGCCAGCTGCCAAAGCATTCCTGGGGTTTTGCTGGCCTTCACAGCACCAGACAGGGGAAATGGGGACCATGGTGGGGGCACTAGTCCTTTGGCCTCACCTTCTCTGCCACCCGCTTCAGCTCTTTCTGGATGTCAGGGAAGAGGAAGCCGTAGAAGCCCTCTGCCTCTGCCCCTCTCTGGCTCAACCCGCTGGCGTGGTACTTCAAGAAGGGAAAAGAGGGTGGGTGCCAGGGGCTGCTGGCAGTGCAGGGCTGGGGACTGGGGGCTGTTGTGGAGTGGGGGGTGTCGAGCCCCGGGGACTCACCAGGCAGTTCTCATGGACACAGATCCCATCCTGATGGCACAGCTGCCCAACAACCTCGGGGTCACAGTCTGCTCGCTGGCACAACATGCACACTGCCGGGGGACAGTGGCAACGTCACCCCTGGCACTGCGCCAGGGTCCTGGTGGGGCTAACACTGAGAGCGGGATGGGGGAGAGGTTTGGAGCACCTTCCCATGGCATGGGGGCCTCTGCTTGCGCACTGGCCAAAATCCCCTCTGGCAGGTGCCTGGGGGGGGATGCTCTGCGCTCACCTTCCTCCCTGGGGACCTGAAGCTTCCTTTTGCGTGGGGGAGGCTCCCAGGAGGGCCCCACCTGCTGCTCCGGCAGTGCTGCGGGACGCTGGGCAGGGGGGCACTGAGGCATCTTGCGGCGCCGTGACCTGGTCTTCATCTCCGCAAGTGGATGCAGCGAAGGGGATGGCTGGGTATGGGGATGTTGGTGAGGTTGAGGACCATCCTGATCCTCCAGCGTCCGTGGCAAACGTGCCACTGAGCTGAGGGCAGATGCCTGGGGGGTTCTATCCAGCCTGGGGGGGTTTGTGATGCGGCTCCACACCTGCAGAACCAAGTCACAGACATCCCCATGCCCAGTCATCACCTTCCCTGCATCTGGGATGTGGGGACAGGCGCAGGGCTGTGATCTGGGGAGGGAACAAGTGTGGCACAGGCTTGTTGCACTCATCATCTCCCTGCTCCTTGCAGTCATCCCCGTTGGAGCCAGCCCAGACTCCAGCCCCCCGGACAGAGCGGGTTTTGCCCAGTGCCTGGCCGTGCAAGCAGAGGCCCCTGCTTTATCAGCGGCCCGGTGTCACCAGCCAGGTGGCCCACTGAAATGTGGCAGGGCTGCGCTGGGTGAGGGTGAACAGGGCTCCCCGGGGGCGTGAGGCGCTGATGCCGTCCACCTCCGTGCCATCCCCAGAGCTGCTGCATCTGCCGGCTGGAGGGAGCCTTTGTCCCCTGCCCGGGCCAGCGCT